ACAGATCTTAGTAATGTCAGCTAGCAGGGCTGATGTAACCGCGGCGCTGCCTGGAGTTACAGCTGCCGGCCTCGGAGGGGAAGCCATGAGCAACGTACGTTTTCAAAAGAGACACGTTCAATACCTGCACTTCATAATGTATCACCCCCCAAAGCCCTGATTTAGTTTAGTTCAAGTAGAAACTTCAATAACATCAAAAGGTGGGAGGTTGTGGTTTCTGCACCAAGTGTTGCCTTTTGATCTTAATTAAGAGACGTTTGGCCCATTTGTTATACTTATTATGAATATCAATAGAAGATCAATGTGATTAAATAGTTTGCTAAATTGTTAACATGATTAAGCTACTCCAAGCTAGATCCTTTGGCCATGCCATTGTTTCTTCTGCATAAATCAAGGTTCGGGTACTTTTTCTTCTCTTCATTTTAGCTGAAGTTGCTACCACATTAAGATGAAGTCATAAATCATAACTAAAAGACACAAAATGGCCTCCTGCTATCTATATTCCCCCTACCCTCTCTGGACACACACACACACACACACACACACACACACACACACACACACACACACACACACACACACACACACACACACACACACACACACACACACACACACACACACACACAGCTCAGCTTTGGCCTCAAACCATCTTTCGACACAGAAAAAAACAAAAACAGACTTTCTGCTAATAATGTGGATAATTTAATAACCCTGCAGGACGCGGCTAATTTGCACCTAACCTCTCTGCAATGTCCCCTCACTGGTGTCCAGTCTTTAGCCATAGAGCAGTGTGCAGATGTAATCACACAAGTCTTCAGTAGCCGGTCTCCCTAATTAGCACCTTCAATTCAGGGCCGGGCGGTCTCATTAGAGCCGGTGTAGTGTTCGTCTGGAGGGAGAACGTGCATACTGAGCAGGGAACACTGCCTCCATGCATCCATCTGCAGCTCCACATTATCTCTGGAGAGCTTTGGGCTGCAAGATTTGATACATTTGTTAACCTACTACTGCAGTGAAGTATATGAAGAAGCTATGGCCTAGGAAGCCGAGAACAATCAGAAAACAATAACGCTTTGAAATGGGCTTATTCTGAAGCACACCGGGCACAAATGCACTTTAAAAAAAAGCTATTGTCATTTGTTTTATGAGGCAAATATCAGAGTTAAGTGAATCATCTGGTGAGCCCAGGAGACTTGTATTGAGGCTTTGGAAATCAAGCCAATAACCTCCTCCTGTTGAAGTATTCTGTTTCTACTCTTCTTTATTTTGGCTTAAAAATGCAATTTTCAGCACTTTTCAATCAGAGACGTTTTGGTGTCACTATAAATCATAAAAGCTAACTTGCGTACAGTAGATGTGTCTTCTATCAATTTAACACAGGCATTTATGTCTCGCTGCTGGTGTAAAAATAGTCCGCCTGCAAGGGTGGCACCTGTCCACTACCTTTGTCACACACACACCTGTTCAGAAGTCACACACAGATGCCACATAAACAAATCACACACACAGCGTCCACAATAATAGCAGCACGTTAAAACACCGTGCGCGTCTGTTTATAGAGGTCACTGTGTTCGTGATGCATGAGGACACACGCAATATGACTCGAGTGTAGCTTTACATTTGAAAGTAGAGATATTAATAAAAACAAAGCTATATATTCTTTAGTTCGGTAGGTCGTTAGCACAAATACAGCAGAGAGTATAGATATGAAACTGTAAACCTACTCTCAACACATTATAGAAACACAAATCTCTCCAATCTAATCAACCTTACTCTTAGCTTTAAACCCACATTTTAATAATAGTGGTGCACTGCACACACAGAGAGGGTAATGTGCGCCCTTCCCCCACGATGAGAACAAACGGCAGCTCCCAAAGTCAACAAAGCACAGGTCAGTAGTTATTAAAACACAGACACTCAACACAAAGGGCTCCCTGTTCTCGCTGCACATCTCACTTATTGGATTTTTTTAAAGCAATAAAGGTTCATTTCATCAGGTCTTTGAAAATAACACTGCACTGTTATATGTTTGTTACGGTTCTTTCATGTTTTGAGGTCTTGTATATAGCCCCAAATACTCTACATTCACATTGTTGGCTGACGTCCATATGATCATAGTCATTGGCTTCAAAGTCTCACGATGACATGGAGGAAAAGAGCAACATCAGCTGATCTGCCAGGGCTGCTCTACTCTTCCACTGTGCTCAAACTCAACCCTATCAAAACACATAACATCCATCTGAGGCAAAAAGAGGATGGCAACAACGTTCAAACATATATCAATTTAATATACCTCTATAGAAATATATATATCTATATATAATAGAAAAATATACCAAAAAGCGCCTGACATGTTTATTTCTATAGAGGTATATTAAATTGATATATGTTTGAACGTTGTTGCCANTGAGACAGGTAGCGCGCAAAAGTAAAAGTGGAACCGAGAGTGGTATGCTGCTGCTGCTGCGGCTTATATTCAGGTGCGCCTTATAGTCCGAAAATTACGGTATATTAAATTGATATATGTTTGAACGTT